GTTAAATAATAAGAGCGATATGCAATCAGTTGCATCACCTCAAGTCCAATAAACATGAATCCCAATAACAACGTCACAAACGGAAACAATTTGATTAGATGCTCGGTCCCGTTTCCCTGTTGCACTCTGTCAGAATCTAGAGTAACGGCCGCCATGAATGAGGCAAGATACAAGAAATATAAACAAAAGAGAAATATATATCGTGTCTTAGCAAATGTCCTCCATTTGAAATTAATAATAGCCTCCATGGCTGGTTCGCCAAACATATCATATCGACCCTCGAGAACCGCACTAGCAAATGGAGAGAGATATTTGTGCCATCCAAATACGTTAAGAAATCCGAGACGGGATTCTGGTGGCTTTGGATACTGGGTGAAATTCGGCAAAGGGACAACACATACAAAATACGAATAACTCTCGTTCTATTCAGAGGTAAAATGAAGGGTTGATGTTAATAATATCATAAAGAAAGCCTAATCGAAGTATATAATCCGAATATTAATATTACCCGATGTTCATTACTAAATAATCTACTCCATTTAAAGACTGCTTCATCACTCGCATCTCCCTTATACACATCATCAACGTTCTTTTCCCTATCTGAGAAGGCAAAATTCTCTCGCTTATTGCTCCATACAGCGGGCCTGTTTAATTGAAAGTAACTGATATCTTTCACCAATTCTAGAGCAGTGTCAGGGTGTTTTGAACACAGTTGGCTGAATGCAGGAACAACGAGTTGCAGACTATTCTCGGGGTTAGGCCCAGCCCCCGAGTTCTTATTCACCGACCTCTTATTCTCAGTCGTCTCCGCACTCTTGCAGTAATATTGTAATAATGAATGGACAATTTCGGTTCTACCCAACGATATAGCATAAGAGAGATCTGACTGATGCCCCTGTTCAAAATCATAAAATTTCAGAGTAATTTTTTCTTTTTTCAACAATTCCTCAATCAACTTATTGGCTCGTTCACAATCAAACTGCATTAAAACTTTCAAGATTGATCCTTTGCTCCATACCGCCTTTGAATCATAGTTTGAAATACCCCCCATTATTTTAAGCCATAACGGTATAAACGGCCTGTCATCTGATCCGTTGATTGATTCAATACTGCCAAAGTCTTCCACATGCTCGAATACATCGCCATCGGAATCCTCCAGGGCACGGCAGATAATCGATTTACAGTTGTCAAGAAGCGTTTCATAACGTCGATAATTTTCATTCGACCACGATTCATGTTCAAATGAATTCAAAAATCCAAGAGCAAACGATGCATCTCTTACTGTATGGAAACTGGCAGGAGCATTCTTACGCGGCAAGTGGAATCCCAATTTCATACTATCACTGATGCCATCCACCCTGTATTCGAAAGTGATAGTAAAGACTTCATCTGGTAGTCTCGTCAACTCTGCCCACTCAATAACATAGTCTTTAATAAAATCTTTTTCTCGATTTCGCTTTATAATTGGTCTACACCAAATATACTGCAGTGTTCTTTCTGGAAAATTAGACCATAACTGTATCGTGTGTTTACCAATGAACAGTACTCGGTCATTTTTATCATCCAACATGACCGCTGTTTTGACACGAGATGTGACCCATGGCTCTATTACAAATTGCTTAACAGAATTAATTACTCCTGTTTCATAACGTGTATATGAAATCACTTTGTTACGGCCTTTTTCAAACTCATGCACTCTCCTTACTCTTCCCTTTGGAGAAGCAGGCGGAGGAACAGGCGAAGAAACAGGCGTAGAAATAGGCCGAGGAACACGTGGAGAAACAGGCGGAGGAACACGTGGAGAAACAGGCGGAGGAACAGGCGAAGAAACGCGTGGAGAAACGGGTGGAGAAACGAGTGGAGAAACGGGTGGAGAAACGGGTGGAGGAACGGGTGGAGGAACGGGTGGAGGAACGGGTGGAGGAACGGGTGGAGAAACGGGTGGAGAAACGGGCGGAGGAACAGGCGAAGAAACAGGCGAAGAAACAAGCGTATAAATAGGTGGAGAAACAGGCGGAGGAACAGGCGAAGAAACGGGTGGAGAAACAGGCGGAAGAACAGGTGGAGGAACAGGTGGAGAAACAGGTGGAGGGACAGATGGAGAAACAGGTGGAGAAACAGGTGGTGGGAGAGATGGAGAAACAGGCGGAGGAACAGGTGGAGAAACAGGCGGAGGGACAGGCGGAGAAACAGGTGGAGGGACAGGTGGAGAAACAGGCGGAGGGACAGGCGGAGAAACAGGTGGAGGGACAGGTGGAGAAACAGGTGGAGAAACAGGTGGTGGGAGAGATGGAGAAACAGGTGGGGAAACTCTTCGTTGTTCTACTTCTGCCGGCGCTGCAACGGACTCCGTACTTTTGTCTATCCCGCTCACAGGTTCGGGATTTGTACTGCTATCAACATCTCTCGCCATCGAGGCAAAACTAGGGACCGGGTCCACATTCTCTGGTAGTGTTTCACTCTCAGTGAACTGAGATTCCTGCTTATTCAAAGGGTCCTCAACAATGGCCTCGGTTGAGGAATTTTTTGATTCAAATAGTTCGACAGAAATAACACTTTCATCATCGACTTCATATCTCTCGGCAATAAACTTCCGGGCGCATTCGAGAACCTCTTTCTCCAACTGAATATCGTTTTGCAATTGAGATCTCAACCAAGAGCGTGCCTTAACAGAACTATTATACCAATCATTTCTAAAATCAGCGGCGACTAGTTCCCAATACTGCAGAGTTACCGCAGTGGCCCTAATTCGGTCCTCAATGTCATTCATACGTCCACTACTGAAATAATCCTCCAGATCTGCAGAAAACTCTCCTGAATTTTTATATTCATAGAGGCCAGCTGTCTTTCCGTTAAGGTGGAGAAAACCCGGTTTTGATTGATACTTTAGAGATCGCCTAACAATTTTTTCGATAACTAAATGCAATAGTTGTTAGATGTATGATAAACGACTGAATAAATCCATGCATGTTTCAAAAACGAGGGAGGAAAAAATAATTACCGGATAGATGCAAAACGTTCTCTTGTTCTTCAGGAATAGTAATGTTAAACTTATCCATGATAAATTTCTTCGCGATATCGTATAAACGCCCTTCTACATCTATGAAATGAACTTGAGAACTAATCCATTGCTCCAAACTGTTAATGGGCAGCGTCCATTCGCTTTGGAACTTCTGGCAAAGAATCTTGACACACGTGATAATCAAAACTGTAGACCAAACACGCATGTTTATGGATATTAGTTGTTTGTCAGACATAATACGTTCTGCTAGGGTGTGAAAAAGATCCGTCGCTGATTCAAAACTAAAGCAGCGAGCTAAGTTGTTGCTAACATCAAAAGCACTAGCATTAAATGTCATGCCGATAAGACGGTACAAGTCGTCAATGTCAATGGTGTCCTTGCTGAAATGGAAGTGGTCACTTTCAAATCTAGTAGAATAGAATTGAACTTCAAGTCGTATTATGCACTTAGACCCCTTTGGATAATTGATCTGTTCACATTTTTCCAAGCAATTTCTCTTACTGTATATCCCATCTGAATTGCGCGTAATCAAATCACTTAACAGTAATGAGGAATCTCCAACACTAATAACGGTCGAATTTTTGTCGAGAATTTCAAGAATAAGGTAGCCCTTTGCGTTGCGCACTGGGACGCAATGTACTCCGCAAACGTTGTTAGCTGTGTATGCAGGCGCCCCTTTGGTAGCAGCTCCCTGTGCATTAACCTTGAAGATACGGACATAGAGATCGAGCATTCCGCCGGATAAAGGAACATCCTTCACTTGATCAATTTTGACTCTGAGGATGCCAACCACTGTAGCGCTACTATCATCATATTCATCTTCGTATAGTTCATTATCATCTAATTCATAATCATCGTCATATTCAAATTCTTCAAATTCATCCTCTTCTTCAACATCGTCAAATTCATCTTCGTCTTCAAATTCTTCATAACCACTATTCTCCTCTTCGGTTTTGGCATTCTTACTTGTCTTGAAAGACCTATCCTTTTGTAAAGTCTCTTCACCAACTGGATATCGGTCATAGACAAATATTCTCGCACGCTCAAGCAACTCTTTTTTAACTTCTTTATTGCCAATTTGCGCGCTCAACCACATGGAAGACTTTTTGTAAGCATCTGCCCACCTGTCGCGGTGATCAACAAGTACATAGCGGAAATACCATAGAAGGACTGCTGTGACATATATGTTCTCACCAAAGTCAATCGAGTTCGATGAAAAGTAAGCTCGCAAACTTGCTCGCGCCTCTTCTGTTGACTCATACCCGAGAAATTTCGCAAGACGAGCATCGAGCACGTAAACACCGTCTTCAGTTTGGTATGAGAGTATACGTCGAATGACTTGATTAGTAACAAGTGTTGTATTTCCCTCAACTTCGTCTGTCTGACTTTCGCTCTCCGGGATATTGAAATGTTTGATAATATAGCGCTTTGCTTCTTTATATAAATGTTCTTCAACTTCTATATCGTTAATGGATTCGGTAATCCAATTTTCCGTCTTTACGTATGATGTTAGCCATTCTATTTCATGTTCCGATAAGACAATCTTAAAAAACGATATGACAAAAACCGAGACAATGATGGATTTGCCAAGTGATTCGAAATTCTCCCGAAATGGTTGGATTAATTCCTCGACGGTTGAAAAGTTCAAAAGCTTAGCTGAGCAATCGTCGACTTCAAACGATCCTGTCTGACGTTGGAGAGACAAAATGAAATAGAGACGATCTAGACCAATAGAGGGA